AGAGGGAGAGGTTCTGAATGAAGTCTGCGTGATTGTCCTGGATTGAGATTGGACTGTTCAGTGCTGGAATTTTGACAGTTTGTACTCGGACCAATACTAATACCCGTCCTGATACCACAGCAATGCGGGTATGTATGTATATATGTATACATATATATATATATAGATACATATATGTATATAAAATCTGATGGGAATTCTAATGCAGATATGCATGAGCCTGTAGTAGCAGCCTCAAGACAATCCCTGTACTTGCTTAGTTTTCCAGGTGGGGAGAGTGGGGCGAGTGCAGCGCCACGTGCGATGGCGGAATGCAGGCTGTACGTTTGCTATCATAGCCTTGCTTGGACTTCTTGGTTTTGGGCTTTGGGGCACTTGGAATCCAGTCTTTGCTGGCTTGACGTCTTAAGTGCGCATGCTGTGGGCAGTGTCCAGGGTTTTTGTGGGTTGTGGATCTAGTCTTGGGTTCTCCCGGGATGCCTGATGTCTTGGCCAAGCCCAAGTTGGAAAAAGCTCGAACAAATGAGTTCAACTGAGGCTTTTAGTGAGGCCACACGGTGAGAAGTGCTTTCAAAATAGGTTCCTAGACGATAAGGCCTTACGTGGCATTGTTCTGAGCAAGTCTCCGTGGAACCCATCTACATGTGGCAACTTCGGCCTACGGCTTGTGCTGCTACAGCCGAAACAGTCACCTCCCCCGTTGGGGCCCTAACAAACCTGACTAAAGGGCTCACTTCCGGACACTAGCCCCAGGAGCGCGCCAGACACATACGAACCCCAAACTCCCACGATGGCAAACCCTGCGTGGGCCCGCTGGCACAGATCCAAGGCTGGGGAGCAGATGGGGGATTCACAAAGAATGGGAGGGTAAGGCGGCTTATGTTGCAAGAACTTGCCTAGATGATGGGGAGATGATGATTCTACTTTATACCCGAAGCGGGCTGCTCAGAATCTATGCAACATGTTGTTGAGTTTGACGAGTACCCGTTCTCGGAACCTAGCATTAGTGGGCCTTGTTTGCCTGCAAGGGGCTTTGAAGCCATGGCCAGACTTGACCTCTGGATGCAATGCTTGGAATGTGAATGTGAAAGGTGGCAGGGCAAGGTTGGGAGGCGTGGGTTCACATGGGCTCCTCATATGTCTTAAAGTTGTCTTCAAGCCCCCTTAGTCTTACGTGAGCATTGCGCTCTTCTCTTGATGTAGCACCTCTTCAACTTTTGGCAGCAGCCATGACAGCTGTAAGTTGAGACCTACTTCAACTCTTTCATCCCCATGGAATTTTGCAGGCTTGCAACTTGTGCTTACAGGGAGGCTGTTGCTCTGGCTGTTCAGGTGTTGGAATCAGACTTCTGGTCCTGTGGTTAGAGGTGCTTCACCAAAGTGGGGTGCTAGATGCTGTGTTTCCAGGTAATCGCTGGCGGCAATAGCAGTAGCTGATGCGTCTGTGCGTTGCACTTTGCAGCCCTTTCTAGGTCCTAGCAAGCGAAGAACCTTTGCTCAAAGACTCCTCATGTAAGATGCTTTGCTGGGTGTATCCTCGCTCTGGATTGTTACGCAGATGTGTCTTTACGGTTCGTGCGCTCCTCCAGCCGAATGCGAGCTGCGAGCTTTCTGCAGGTTGCGGCTATGGCGACTGCGTGAAGCGAGTCTGCAAAGACTGTGACTGGATGAAGCTAAGAAAAGCCGTCTCCTACGGGCAAAAGAATCGAAAATAAACTGCAGTAGTAGTTGTAGGATGTGAGGATCGGTGGAATTCAGGAGCGAAGGTGGGACTGAGTGAGCTTTGGGGCTCTACCCTCAAGAGGCGGTGGGAGGGCTTCTAGGATTATGCTGCCTTCCACGCCACTGCTTCTTGGATAGTGGTCCAACTTTAATCGCCAGTCTTCAAGTCAGGCACTCTTTTCAGGCTGAGTCGCCAACTTCTTACATCACTGGACAGTAGGCCTAACCCAGGATCCTAGCATCCTGGCAAGTCCCCCCAACGAGAGGTAATGTTCCATGCGGAGGCGCTCAAATGGTACCTATTTTCTGGTAGAAACCACCAAGGGTCCGCGAACTGGTGTGCCTCCCGAGATCTACAAGATTTCCTCCAGGTACCGTAGCCCTGCATGAGCTTGGCAAGAAAGCTTGACAATTCAGACCATACATCCCTGGCGATACAAAGCACTTGCAGAATCCAGAGATCACAATGCCTTCCTCACATCACTGCTACGGTCCTACACCATAAATCACTACACTCAGGTGAATGGGGACCTTGGTCGGACTGGGGTGCTTCCCGGCAGCATCGTGACATCGGAGTTTGGATCAGATTAAAGGTGATGGGTGATCAAGCAAAGCACAGAGCAAACACCACGCGCATTGGAGACACGAATGATTGGAGCATCTCGACAAAACAGGGTTCACAGCAAGCCTCATCCCTTCATCACACGAACCTCCTACCCCCTGCGGAGTGAAGGCAAGGAGGTGGAAGTCCTCATGAGTCCTTTTCTCGCGCCTTGTTACATTTGGCACCTGGCGTGTTGGGAACAACCGGAAAGCCTGTCAGCTGTACACATACACTCTTCGAAATAGTCTGGGTGTATGCGCATAAACGCCTCATTTAATCTCCAATTCTGATAACGTCTCATCCTCAAAACAGCAACGCTCAAGGACTGCTCTAAGTGCGGCGGACAGCGCTATCGGCAGCGGGCCGTCCTCAAGATGCCGAACGTACTCCGGCCAAAATCCGGGTTTCTGAAAACTATGAGCCCCAGAGATTACCTAATGGAAGTTCTTTTGGATGCTACGCACGTTATTTCTTGCGTGTTGCCTGGTTGTGACTTCATGTGTTTCGGGCCACATTGTTCTATGTTCCTAGATGAACTCCTTGCTGAAAGTATGATGCAGTAAAACGTCACCAGAAATTCCACATGTCTCCCGTGCCTGAGCCTTGCAGGAGTGTGGGAAGCTTTGCGACCCAAGAGTGGCCAAAGAGGCGCAGGGTTGTGGCGACAAGGATCTATACTTGCAGATTCTATACTTGAGAGTACATAGGGATCTTTCGGAGGATTTACAGGGATGAAGGATTTTGTCTCCGTTGAATAGAATGTACTCTCGCCATGCTACCTTCAGGAATCCTCCAGTAAAACAGCCTCATTGCAGTGCAGCTGCAGAGAAAACATCCGGAGCTTCACTGTTGGTGTAGGGGTACCCGAACCAATTCAGTGGTCTGGCAGACATGTCGAACTTGTGCTCAGATTGAGATTGAGGAAGCAGCAAAGCTGATATGGAAACTACAATTTAGGGATATTTAGGGGTATTATAGGGAATATAAGGAATATTTCGATAATCCTCAAAATCTACACCCTGAGGTGGGGAGCTGCACCAGCCACTGCGAGGCCAAGCGCCAACGTGTTAATGGCCCTACCGTTTGGTGAAGTGCACTTAACAGCCTCTTAAGCTGGTGGAGGGGTCCGTAAGCGTTGCTGGCTAATTTTGTAGGGTTGAAGGGTTGTTGCTACTTGAACCTGGCTGCAGGGGACTCCGGCTTTGTAGGCTGAAGTTGCAAGCACAGCTTTCGCAATCCCGTCTTTGACCCTGAGCCCTGTAAGCCCTAAAGCCCCAAATAGGACAACCCCGCACGCAAACCCATGCAAACCCTCCTGTACCTCGAATTGTAACACCTCAATCAAGCAGGAAGATGGTTTCTGCAGCTGGGGATCGTGGACATCCTTGTCCTCCTGCAGTGCAACCTGTGGCAGCTCGGCCTTCTAAACGCATGTTTTCCGAATAGCAATTCTTACCTGCGCCTCTGCAAACGTGTGTATGTGTAATGCCGTGGTGGTAGATTTTGGGGGGAGTATGTGTGTGCGTGGTGTATGTTGTATCTCAATTGTACCTGTATAGGTGCATGTACCTGGTTACTTTATGCAGGTGTACATAAGCTTCGTACAGCTCATGTCTATGTGCATCTACATGAAAAAGCAATGCTAGTAGGAGGCATGCCCGTTATTAAGCATGGACATTCCACATTTTATCGTTCCGTGGGATGCTTGCACAAGCCCACCATCCAGTTGAACGTGGCTGATAGAAGTTGAAGAGCTCAAGACTTGACACGTTCGCACATGTGCCTTTAGACAAGGCAGGTGTGCTTCACGCTGTCATCCTTAGATATGCGGAAGAGCAGCCCCAGCTAAGCTGATAATCGCAAAGGTCGTCATACTTACGTGCAGTGCATGGGCCTCCTGCTGATCTTTCTTCGTGACGTGTCAGGTACGGCCACCATGATGCGCCAGCGCTCGCTCGAATTCCTGAAGGAGGCTGGTAGCTAGAGTCATAGACTGCAGGGGCTCAGGGTCTTCCCGTTTCCAGTCCCCTCAGTGGAGCTTTGCGCCTCAGCCTTGGAGATGACTGCCCGGGATATATAGCCCTCAGTAACGGAGAATCAAATGGAAAATGATAGAACAAAAGGAGTAAATACTCCCAATAGTGGAGACGCAGCTGGAACGGAAAATAGCACATGGACTGGAATCTGGGCTTAGAGGAATATTCCCTCGACGAATCAAACGTGCCAAATTCTCAGAAACCACCTTGGGAAGGCTGTTGGTTGCTTCGCACTTCCATTGCCCCCCCAGCCTAAGCCTGCCATTGTCACCCAATGATTTCCTCCCGTACCTTGAGCCAGCATCACATTATGGAACGGGCTGAAGCTCTTCGCTTCATGCCAGGAACCCCGAGCTTCAAGTCAGCTTGTTGGCGAGGGAAAGTGCTGGAACGCGCCTTGGCAGAGTGCTGCAAGGTCAGGAGATGAGTATTTTCGAGAGAGAGAGAGAGAGAGAAAGAGAGCTAGGGCTCGGCGCAGTGCGCCGGCTGGTCCGTAGGGGCCAACTTAGCCCGCAGAAGAAGAAGAAGAAGAAGAAAGAAACAACAAAGGCTTACTTCGGTGTGGTATACTCATTGTAGCTGGGCAGAATCACACCACAAAGCAACATGCAGCCCAATGCGAACGTTCACTGTCCCAGGACGAAAAGCTGCGCTACAAGGCCTACCGAGTCAAGACGATGTCGACCGAGGTGCCTCGGTGATCCTAGCAGCAGCCATTCAATCTGGGTGCTCACTATTCCTCAAGTCCAACCACCCAGCAGCCGGACCAAAAGTAGTCAAGTGGTGCTGTGTCAGTTTGCATTTTTCACGCCCCCCCCAGCACCCTTCACCGAGGCTCAGTGCACTGACATCCTGTCTGGGGCAAAAGAGAAGCACAGGATCAGGGGCGTGCAGCGACTTGGCCGGTCTTCATCTTGCTCTTGGGGCTGCTGGCTCCAGGTTTTGAATTCCTAAACCTTATGGATTCATATTCCCAATCCATATGCGGCTGGACGATGAGCTTCGGATTCGGCACCACAAGGATTGGATCCCCAAAGTATCATGGTTCAGAAGTGGTGTTGGATGAGCCTTTTTTTTTGGGGGGGGGGCGGGGGAGGGGCGAGGAGTCGAGGATCCTAAAATTCACGACGCTGCGAGCACGGCGATCCCAAGCAGCTGGACAAGTCTGCAGAAACTTGGGGAATCGTAGAACAGGATGGGAAAATCAAGGTAGACAGTTGGGAGGGATAACGCAATGGGGAGATATTTGGTATGTCAACATGAAGGACTGGTGAAGAATCTGCTGGCAATGTATTGCCTGGTTGTTATCTGAATTGGTGGCGCCGCAATCAGTCAGCTACATCAGCAGCTACATGCATAACAAGGTGTAGATTCCAATCGCCACTTAGTTGACCTGTGAGCCTGCCTGGATTCCTGAAATTCAGCATGGTATCAGCCAGGTATGGAGAAGCTATGCACATTTGTGATCTCCTTGTCGATACCGATGTGGAGCTCGACACGCAGGCGCGGATGTAAAGCGGTATGCTTGACATGGCATGGCAACAGCATCCTGTCTCGCACCGCGCAATTTCAATTCACCGGTACGTAGAAGCATATTTGGGAACCCTGACTACACAAGCTACAGCCACCCATATCAAGCCGAGCAGCTTTGTCAGCGACCGTGCTGCATCATTCCCTAAAGTTCGTGAATCCAAGTCGATAGGCCTGGCAAAAGCTGACTGTAATCTGTAGACCCCACCGAATAGAGAGCCGTGGAGTATCATATCCAGTCCTTGGCTTCTTTGCCTCTTACACCCAATCTCTGGTTGTTGTGCAAAAGATCCGTTTGCCAACTTTCAGTAGCCTTGCAGCAGGACACCGCATCTCCAATCCAAGAATTATCTACTGACCTTGGGGCCTGAGCGGGAGGACTAACAAACTAGCCCAGAGTAGCCTTGCTTTTGATTTTACAAGCGGGGCTCCCGACCGCAGGCCTTCCCCATGCCTATGGAACTCCTCGACAACATCTATGACGACGACCATGCAACGGGTGTCCTGTACTGAAAGCCGGGACTTTCAGAAATTCCAAGGCATCTTGGGCCCCTCGAGATCACAAGCATTCTGGGGTTGATTGGCTGCGATGTTTGTTGTTGATTGTTGAGTTCTGGCTGCTTCGGTTCTTCACGAGCCCTGTAACGGCCCCTATATCTTTGATTCAGCCACTTCTTGTAAACGCTGGGTGGCGACCGCCCTATGAGCCTGATCCTTCCTGACCCAACCTTTCTGCAAAGGTCCCGTCAAGGCATCCAATGGTGCTACGGGCTGGAAGTGCTGGACAAGGCCTGCTCCGTGCTTTCAGCCTGCGGAACCAGGGCTTAAGGCTACGGACCTAGGGAGCCGTATATATGTTAGTGAAGATGATGCAGATCTTTATGTTTAGGAATTTCCCAGCATCAGCGTTTTTCTACGTTTGCACCAATGATAGGTTCTCATGATAGGGAGCCTTCAAGACGAACCTATCGTTTTTGAGGGGTTCATGCTACGGCCCGCTCAAGAATGACTTCCGATTTCAAGACTTGGTAGGCAGGGTTGCACTGGACCTTGGTGATTACAGTATCATTTGCTGGGCTGAACCCTAGGGGTCCACGTACCTAATAATCATATACTTTCCCAAAACCTATACTATAATTACACAAAACCCAAGTACCTGATTATTTCGTACCTGGACCCTAAACCCTAAACCCCATATACCCCTAGATACCCTATATATCCCCTTTAAAGGGACCTATGGGGTACTTGGACCCTCTGGGAAAGTGTGCAGAGCTGCAGGCTCAGACCTTGGAAGTCTGTAAACTGCATTTGAATCAACACCACATGAGCCAGAATCTAAGTCCCTTAAGGGGGGTTATGTATATTGGGGTTATATTGGGGTTAGATAGGTTCAGGGTTAGCTGTTTAGGCTTTATAAGGTTTGAAGCTTAGGGGTTCATATAAGGGAATGCTTTAGGGGTTCGTCAAGGGGATACTAGGAGTTTGGATCATGGCTTACATGCAATTCAATTCCCGAAGCCTGGAGGAACTCCGGCACTTTCTTCCTTGCGCAGAAGACGCTACCTTGCTCCGGCCAGCAGGTAGATGTCCTGGCTCCTTGACTGCGCTACCCAAAGCTTCCAAACTTGTCTATAATTAAGAGCTTGCTGCAATATGCCTGTGAAACCCTGCGAGCTGTGATCAAACAAAGCTGGGGTCTGCTGGAGAGCGCCATGATGAATTCTGCGGCTGCACCGGAAAGCTACCCTGAGTTGCCCTGTCGCCAGAGGAATGTCCCGTCAAGAGCTGCGAGAGCTGTGCGGACGTCGACTGCGTGTTCGGGGAATGGTCGATGCACCTTGGCAAAATCAGGATTCATCAAATCAAGAAGGGCTCGTTTGTTCTTTGAGAGACGAAAAATTGTGGTGTTTAGATGGCCCAAACTATGTTCTGGGTTGTGGTCAAGCATTGTGAAACCCTGCTGTTGTCAGAGCAGGCCTACGTGAGCTTCTGCTTACCCTGCCCTGTGTCCCTGCAGGTGGGGTGCTGCCAGCTGCACACAGCTTTGTGAGCGCCATCGTGTGATCTCCACGCCCCTGGGTTGAGCATCCATCGTGGGAAGTTCAGCAAAGCCGGCTCAAGCCTTTCCATGGGGGAAGCTGTTTGATCCATGTGTATGTTCAGCGAGTACAAGACCCCTCTTCCTGGCCTTCTTCATGCAGCCTGATTATAAGTAATTGCTCCAAGGATGAACAAGTGCGGTGGCTTGGCCTGCAATGGGCCCCTGGTGATGACAAAGCACTGTCGCAAGGCCGGGCTGTTGCTGGAGGAACTATTGAAGTCTCGTAGGTTGCTGAATCTGATGGACACCTTGACTTCGGTCTGATTGAATGTATGGCCGGCGCATTGCTGACGAGGTTGAAGGCGATAGCGGAGAAGGCTTCAAGAATCGAGCCAATGATATAACAGCGGCATATTTTTCCGAATGTGTTGCCTTCTGTGCCACTGGTTAGATCCCAAATGCACAACGCGCACTGTGCCAGCCGCTACTCCCAGCCCTCAACCTGAGATGTACCTACTCCACAAAGGCTGTAGGATCTGTGTCGCGACGACCGGTTTTTGCTACCCTGTTGGCCGTCAGGATTGTCAACATCCAGAGGATTGCGCCTTCGCAGGATGGACTGAGTGGGACCTTACGGGATGCACAGGCCCGCAAGGGCTGTACATCATTTCATGCACCACCTTCTCCCAGGCAACTAGTCACAGCTTGTTATTCTACCTTCACTCATGCTGGGGCATGTTCTACATGATTGAAGGCATCGCAGACCATGAGGGTTCGGGATGCAGGACTCAGAGCTGCTAAACATCGGGGATCGGGTCTCGTCAGGTGAAGGTGGACAAAAGCACCGCGAGCGTGTGGTGGCACAAGTGGCGGTGAATGAAGGCCTCGGCTTGCGGGGCTGCACCGGCAGAAGTAGCAGTGCCATATAGTGGTGATGCAATTAATGGTTTCATTTATAGCCAGAAAGCATGAATACAATTCAGAAATGTAAGCGTAGCAAAGCTGCCTACTCCCGGCCGTCCCTCCGCCTGCAGCAACATTTTACCGTTTCTTCTTTCCTTCCCAAAGTCAACTCTGCAGGCCGGCCTTGCTCCGGACCAACAGAAGAGACCACAGCGCCCCGGCAACCCTCGCGGGTGTAGTTTTGGCACACTGACAAGAGCAAGTTGCAAAGTTTTGCTGAGGGATGTTAAGTTGCTACGTCGGGATTTGGCTCGCTTAAGGAGTCACCCGGCCCACAGGCCATGTCTGAGTCTATTCGCTTGTTTTGCAAGAACGGATGCCATTAAAACAAAAACAAGACAGATAAGCCCACGGAGCAGATCCAAGCAGCTAGATGCCCAAGGCTGGCTTGTTGTTTCGTCTAGAGGCAGCCCACCCACAAACATTGTTCTAAGGCCTGTGGAGGTCCGACATCAGACGTTGACTGCGAGATGGGAATGTGGATGGCGCGGCTAGGGTTTCAGAGTGATAGAAGCCTGGGGGTCAGGTTGAAAGCAGGCCTCAAATGGAAGGTCGAGGGTGAATTTTGCGGTGCAGAGACCAGGTCCTTCGGTTTTGTGGGACTTGAGTTCCAGGATTGCCCTTTGATTGAAGAGCTTGTTGCCTGCCCACACAGCCTGGAGAGTTTTGGGGGGAGGCTTGGCATTGATGGGTACCAAGCCCGCAGGGATTGCCAAATGCAGCGCAAAATGAGTGTTTGTCAAGCTCACAGCTCGGCTTGCATTTATACCGCGCCTGCCATAATGGTGATGGCAATCATCAGTTGCTAGTGTCAGGTTTCCTGTCGGAATTGCGGTGCGCAATCCGGAAGCTCGGTCTGACAGCGTTCACGCACAGCATCGAATCCCAATGCGCTAGGAGTGGGCACAGTGCACCGCTTCGTGCGGCTCTGGAGCCTCAGCAGCCTGTTGATTAAGTGTCAGAGGCTCATGTGACTCATGTGGTTTAGGGTGTGAGCGTTCAGTGGTTAGGGCTGTGGTTCGGAGGTTGCTGGGTGTTCGGCCTAATGCTCGAGAATGAGGGGCTGGTATGTCCATGTACGGAAGCGGATTTGGGGCCTGGGGTACCAGATGAGAGTCTTGGCAGACCTGGAGCTGGCTTACGCTCGATGGCCACTGTACCAGGGCATCATCATCATTGTCATTATCACCATCATGTTCTATAGCTTTTACACTTCTACACCTGCTTGGTCTATATTTCTGCTTCTAGTACTCTGGACAGTTAGTTATCGGAAGCAGGACATGAAGAGTAGCAAGAGGCACCAAAGCCCTCATCTTGTGAGGAATCCACCGGCGCAAGCGCCACATCCTTCAGCATAAGCGAGGCCGCCGCGGACGAAATGGACTGCTCTTGGCACAAACGGAAGAACACAAGTGCAGTATGATGAAATAGAAGCACTGGCAGTAGCAAACAGCGGCAGAGATTTTGCGAAAGTAAACTTGCAGGAGAGGTAGCCAGGTAGTCTGCAGTTTTAAGCTTTACGCCATTAGTGTTCATCAGCGTATTTCTAGAAGCAACAGCAATGGAGGTAAGACTTATCTCGGCGTGGTGCTATTGGTGCATTTGCAAGAGATATCCACCCCTATTGGTCACAGCATGAAGGTCAAGGCAGCTGCATCAGGGTTCAGCACTAGGGTACCCGGACAGAAGATGCAGGGCAGAGACAGGCGATTTGGCCACAACCAGGTGTCAGATTTGTTGTTTCCCTCTGCAACACAGTTGGTTGTGTGATGCTTCCGGTGGCATTGCAGATGTGAGCCAGCATGCACTTCAGAGGCCTCCGCGACTCCGCAAGACAGGTAGGAGGTGTATCCTTGTGAAATGGCCCCGTCAGTCGAAACTTTTGTAGCGGTGATGTATGGGACTATTGCACGTTGACAGATGGAAGCTATGGCATGCTTCAGAAACGATGATTAAAGTAGAACGCCCATATTTGGCAAGGATTGCAAGATCTTGCGAGCAACCAGCACATGACTGGCGCTAATAATCGAGCGTTTTATGTTTGACACGCTACCTATGTTCTTGGGTGGTTTTCAGACAGGCCTAGTTCCCTATGGCCACAAAAGCGCTGCATCAGGGGCTGGTATGCCTTGCAGCGGCGGTTTGGAGGAAATCGACGACGCCTGGATTTCTTGGCCCTGCGAGCTTGGAAGGTACTGTGGGAGTGGGTTGCGTGTAGCATGTGTCTGCCCAGACCACATGTATCCCAAATCAGAGATCACAAATATTCCTAGCTCTACATACGAAGCTCGCGCTCCCGGCTTCTGAGGACTGCCATTCCCAGCCCTGCGGCAATTATGGAGACCGCAGCTCGATGCAAACTGATACTTTGGGGCTCACCTCACATTGGATCAAGCTCACAGCACTTTATCACGCTTGCCTTCGGCTTACGGTTCGCAGAGGCTAGTCGCCACTAATTTCTGTGGTAACAACAGTGTATGCATGGTAGTACATTCAGGTTTGGCGCCGGAAGTGATTCGCTTATCAGTGTATGGCAGCGACACAGCATAGCACGCAGGAAGTCTCGATTTGCAGAGGAAATGCTTCATCATACCTTCATGCCTCCGCTGTAAGTTGCTTTCGAATCAGGAATTACAGGTTTGGCTCCTACTTGGGCAGAGGACTTTCGTTGATAATGCGGGAGGCTGTGAACTAAATCCCGAATACCTTACCGCTCCAGAAAATCCACAACTCAATAGATGCTCGACTTCCTTGCTACTGCAGGACTCTTCAGCATGATAGGCATGTCAAAGAATTCATGCCCATGCCTTTTCGTGGCTACCTGCCTGCTAGTTTTTTCAGAGATGGAAGAGCATTCTGCGGCCAAATGCAGGCAACTGCGAGCTCTCGGACTGGACCGAATGGGGTGAAGCGAATGAGCAAGGCGCCAATCTTGTTTGCCCATCTCCGGTAATCAAAGATCTTCCAGTTTCATGTGTTAAAGTTGTTGAAGGTGGAAACAGAGATGCATGTTGTACGATCACTCGAGGAAATTTTACTTTGGTTCCACATCTTGTGCAGCCTTCCCTCGCATGACCTATGGTCTGGCACCATGTGCCAGCTGCAGCTTCAGTAGCACCATGCAACGCTTTTTGTCTTTGTTTTTTTTCGCAAACAGCACTGACACATCCCAAAACTCCGGCGGGCTAGATCTAAGATGCGGCTGCTTTTTCCGAGGCTTGTCGAAATCAGAGCTTGATTCCCTGAAATCTACAAACCACAATACTATGAAAATCCCAGTGCATTCTTTCGGCGAGCAAATGGCAGGCCTTTGCTTCCGAAAGCGGCACATTCTTGTGCACGCTCAAGGCGCTGAAATGGGACGGTCCTGTGCTTCAAAGGGTTGATGAGGTTTATGCTCTTATCGAGATGCGGCATCAAAGCTGCAGCTCCACATCCGAGGCTTGCATCAAGCTCATACAAGGATACACAGGGTAGGCAATTCCATGTACATGGCCATACACAGCTATACCGCAGCCACAGCGCGAGATTTTCTTCTGGTAATCATGCTGAGTCATGCTGCTTGTTATCACTGCGACGTTTCTCTTCATCTTGCAGGTTTGCCAAGGTTTGCGATGTCTACCATACCCGTATTTCTTTCAATGGAGCTCGTTCGGAGAGACAGTGGCTTGCGCCAAAATCCCGCAAGCACAAAATACTAAATCTAAATTCAAACTGGGAGCACAGAAAACCACTCATAATGCACTTGAAGCGCCTGCCAGGCTCAGGCATCGCTTGCAGTGGAGAAATGGAGGACATAAAGCCACTTGATCCGTGATTTGAAGACGCCTCGGTCGTGTGGTAGTTACTGGTAGTTGTGTAACACTCTTTTCTCGTGTGTCTGCGATGTTTAGGTATATGCCGTCCAAAGGTGCTGCCATGGTGAGCCAGCAAGTTCCGAGCAAAGCATCCTTGACCTGATTATTCTTAACCTTAGTATATTCTAATCTATTGGGGTTATATCGGGATCAAATTGGTATAATGGCAAAGAGAATAGAAACTACTGTTATGGTCTATTATGGTCTTCGCCTGCACACGGCAATGCATCTTTCACCTTGTCAGCAGACCCCCCGTATAATAACACCCAGGCTATGCCATGGCGTCACAGACTGCCGAATCACCGCATGGTCCTCCTGGAGTGCCTGGGCTGTGAATTGCAGCCTTGGAGGACCTCAAGGGCTTCCAACACTATGGGGCTTCAAGAAAACTGTCAATGTACATGCGGACATGAGAAGGCAGCTTTGTGAAATAGCTCTGGGATCCTGTTCAAGGGGAGCCTGATGGTGATTAATGGCCTGCAAGGTAGCTGCGATCGCCCTTGCGATGGGGGCCAGCAGAGACTTGGATGCAGTTCAGCAGCCACGCCTGGCCCCTCACCAGAACACCTGCGGTGCCCTTGTGCAGTGAACATCACATGAGCCGACATGTTCCTGTAGTGCTCGTAGAGCGCTGTGTTAGTCACTGTGTTACGCATGCAATCTGCTAAAGTGCTGGAAAGTCGCATATGAGCTTACTGAGTAGCTGTAGCGTTTGTCCGTTTCAATGTTCCGGCCCTTGGACAAGCAACCGAGGATGCGAGGACGGCACATCACGCTAAATCCTCGCAACGGGGGTCAGGCGCGGTTCATAGCTGCAGCTTCTGGCTCGGTGCCCGCGCAAGAGCGGATGCTGAGAACACGCTGCATTAGACACATTCATGTAATGAGACGCAGTCGTTGCCCTGCTGCCTCATGCTTGCTGAGCTTCCACGGAATTCTCAAGCAAGCTCTTTTGTTTCCTTGCCGGCCACTTGAAATCATCAAGTGCTTCTCCTGCCGAGCACAGCATCGTAAGAGTGAACAATGTTGATGAATTCGGAAGCCTTGGCCGTGCTACCTGAGACCTCGAGTGTTGTCCTTGAACCGGGGGGCTTCAGGTTGAGGGTTTAGAGTCGCCACATGTCGCCACTGCATGCCGAGTGAAGTGTAACGGCCACTGACCAAACAGACGAACAGCCGGAGTTGACGACAGCAATGATGCTAGTAATGAGCGGTCGGTACAGATGCACGGCGGGTAAAGTTGCCCAAGTGCGTGCGGCTTTTGTAGAAAGCAGGAGCCTCAACAAAGATAGAACCTTGAGTTGTGTCCATGTATAGCATTCCTGTAAACAATTAACTTAAGGGCTACAAAATGTTATGAACAAGCATGTAGCACCTTTTCAGCTTTCTCACCTAGTCATAGTTATGCTCAGCGCCAGGCATGCCCACCTGAGCTCGAGGAGATCCGAGGGTGCAATGAGGACCGCCCATGTCCCACAGAAAGAGACTGTTAATGGAAGAAATCCTACATGACCCTAGATAAGACCCACGAACAATGGTAGTAAAGTAAGACAGGCTTGCGCACATCTTTTAAGCCCATCCGCTGCGGCGCATATGCGCAGCTTTCAGAGGTTGTTCAAAAGTTCGTC